CGATCAAGTGTTCTGGGATTCCCATTCTTCTCAGAGTCAGCCATAGTTTGTTATGATCTACACAGTCAAATGCCTTTGCATAGTCAATGAAACACAGATAATATTGTCTATTCATTATATAAGATAACAAGAAGTCAGTATCTTTCCACCCTGAATCTTATAAAGTTCTCTGTATGTAATAATCTTTCAATAAATGGTTTTGAATGGTTCTTTTGCCTTTATACTACATAAAAACATAGATTTAACATTAATTTTAAGATGTATTTCCTAGCTCTCACTAACTTTTCAATTTAAGCTGTTTAAACATTTTAACCTCAATTTATTCATCTTTAAAAACAGGGAAACAGTATTTATCTCAGATGACTATTGTAGGGATTAAACTTAGATAATATTTTAAATGTTTGTCACTGTTCTTGAAACATGATAGGTGCTAATGAAATGGTAGGTATTAACCCTGTGGCTTTAATATAGTCTTGTAAACAATCTGATACTTGAATGAATAAACATTTTTTTTAAATGAAGAAATGGAATACATAGAATGAATTGGTTTCTTGTTTCATTCTGAATGAAAAAAGTTTTATTTGGATCATTCCAAAACACATTATTTGTCAAGATGTTCTCTAATCATGAAAGTTATTTGTTTATTTAGTTCTTTTAAAATTATTTTTATGAGCTATAGAGAAATAAGATTATATCAAGTCTTACTCCTCCATGAATACTTGCTCAGTCTCTTGACATTTTAATATAGGATTTTTGAGACTATTGTAGTTTCACATATATTTGTAAAATTTAATACAGAGAAATTTTGACTAAACCTTTATCCAGTTTCTTCCAAAGTAAATTTGCTTAACTATATTGCACAATATCACAACCAGAACATTGACATTACTTTATTTAGATTTTACAAGTCTTAAAATGTGCGTATTACATATGTAGATTTTTGTTACTATCACCACAGTCAAGAGAAAACAGTCTCATCATAAGAATCTCCATGTTACCTTTTTAAAGCATACTCACCTTCCTTTTCAACCTGTTCTTTTTTTCTCTGATTTTGTGATTTTAGAATAGTACGTAAATGAAATTATACTTTGTAACTCTTTAGGGTTGACTTTTTTCATTCAATATCATTCTTTTGAAATGTAGTCTTTTGTATTAATATTTCATTTTGCTTTGTTGTTGAATAATATTCTATGCTATGGATATACCAAAAATTGTTTAACCTTTGAAAGACATTTGGGTTGTTTTCAGATTTGAGCTATTTCAATAAAGCTACTGTGAAGATTCATGTATTGTTTTGTGGAAACATATATTTTCATTTTGGGGGGAGGATAAATGCTGAAGAGTGAAATTTCTAGGCCACATAGAAAGAACCTGTTTAGTTTAAAAGAAACTGTCATAATCCCACATAGAGAGTATGTTAATGAGGTGATTCAGATGGGGAACAGGAAGGCCAGAAAGATCACCTACTGTGATAACTCAGGGAAAAAATCTTGATTCAGTAAATCTTGTTTGTATATGAAACTCAAGTGAAAACCCAGAGTTCAATGAACTCTGAAGTTAGTAACAGATTTCAGTGCACACAGAACAGTAGCATGTTCTTTTTGGGACGTGGAAGCTCCCTGTTGTGAATACTTCAGATCTTGCTCTATGTTCCTCCTTCCTCTTTTTTTCTAATAAAAATGTAATTGTTAAAAAAAGAACAACAACAAAAAAATGAAAAGCAAAAAAAAAAAAA